TTTTTTGCAAGTGTTTTGGTAGTAAAAATGTTGCCAGTTCTCAGATGTGGTAGAAAACAGGAAGATGGTGGGGAGCATCCTTTTGATGGATGCCATAAAAATAGGGATCATTAATCTCTAGACATGAGGAGGGAGAGTTCCAGCAGACAAGAAGAGAAATTCTTTCTTAGTTCTCAGCCCCACTCTATGCATTTATGTGTCTGTGAATTCATTTGTTATTTGTTTGTGGAGTAGATAATATACCAGACACTACTTAGAGTATATAGATTTATCAATAAATGATACATTCATATTTCCTTCAAGACATTTAATTTAGTCATTTACTCTGATGGAAACACGTACACACTAACATACACAAAATATTATTTAATAATAAATGTTACAATGTAAAATATAGGAAGCCATGGAAATGAACAGATGGAGCATCTGCTGCTCTGGATTTGAAAATTGGGCGCTTCTGTGAAAATATCCTTGAGGAAGCTACCTCAAAGCTGAACGCCAACATGGATTGCAGTGTGCTGGTGGTAATGGGACTGTGATGTAACATGTTTGTGGTGGATTTCTGGATTGCAGCTTTGTCACACTACATTATGACTTTGTTCAAGATGTTACAGTTAAAGCACCCAGAGGTAAACATTGATTTCTGCATAACATGAAGCTTGAGTTGTAGGACTCAGTTGTCCACAGGAAAGGTAAAATCAGAAAGTCAAGGGTTTCTACCAGAGGAACAAGGTCAGGAGGGAGCAACTTCAAATGAAGTTAGAGGAGTTCTGGTGGAATCAGATTTGGGGAAGAGTGGAAGAGTTTTCACTTACTGATGTGACTCAGGAGTCTGAGGGACACTGCTTAGCCAGGATAGAAAGACACAAAAAAGACCTTAGCCAGGGAGAGAAGAAGGAAGCTGCCCCACAGAGCCATAGAAGGAGGTGAATTAGGGCAAATGACATTTATCTAGGATCTGTTCTGGGTGCTTTCTTGTTTATTGTTCCATTTAAGTTTAGTTTTGTTTCATAGTTTTGGTGTTTATATATTTCTGATGATTCTTGATAAAGTTTTCCTCTGGGTAGCTTTTGATATTATCAAAAGTGTCATATCCCAGATGTAGGAGGAGTTATAATTTAAACAAGGGAAGCATTCTTAATCCATAAATAAAGAAAAATTGACTCATATTTTAATTTAGGGTAGAGGAAAAAGAAATCTTTAGGAACAGCTAGAGTTTTTTGATTTAATTACAGGCTGTATTATCAGGGCTCAGTGACATTTAGTCCCAGCCTTCACCACTGGCCTTTCTAATCCCCAGGAGCTTGATGGTGGCACACCAGATCTCCTTGGACTTAATACTATATATGATTGGGTTAAGCATGGGAGGTAGGAAAAGATAGATGTTGGCTATAAGAAAGTGGGCAGCAGGTGGGGCATCTTACCAGAAGCAACGCACTAGGGACAGCCCCATCATGGGCACAAAGAATACTAGCAGAGCTCAAAGATAATGAGGTGCATGTTTGTAAGGTTAGGAAGTGCTCCTGCTGGGAGCCTACTCCTGTCACTGTGTGCAGGATGAATGCATGGGACAGCGCAATGACCAGCACATCAACCATGACAGTGAACACTCCCAGTATCAGTGCGCAGAGCTTGTTGAAGGTGGTGGCTATGCAGGCCAGGCATACCACCTCCTGGTGTAGGCAAAACGAGTGGGAGAAGACTAGTGGATCACAGCAGGGACAAGCCTTCAGGAGGAGGACAGGAGGGAGAAAGGCCACAGGTCCTCAAAGAATGACACACAGGCCTGCCTTTATCACTCCCTGGCTAGTGATAATGACTGAATACCTCAAGGGGTGGCAGATGGCCACAAAGCGGTCAAAGGATGTGACAAGGAGCACTGTGGATTCCATAAAGGATAATGAGTGGATGGAGAACATCTGGATTTGGCAAGCTTTGAAGTGGAAACTGTGGTAGTTGAACCAAAAGATTCCCATAGTGGTGGGCAGGGTGGACACTGAAAGTCCCAGGTCAGTGAGGGCCAGCAAGGATAGCAGATTGTACATGGGCATATGAAGACTAGGGTTGGTCTTAGTAATTGTCAGAGTGAAACAGTTTCCTGAGATGGCCACCAGGTAGATGAAGAAAAAGGGAATGAAAACCAGAGTTGGACGTCTTCCAACAGTGAAGTAGAACATGGGGCTAAAATGAGTAATGTCGGACAGGCGTGTGGCAGGGACAGAGCTGAAAATGAACAGATATTTTTGTTTATTAATTCTTCAGCTTCAGAAACATGCTCATCTCCATAAGTAATGTTATAATCATCATTACTCTTTTGCACCATGTACTCCATTATTATCAATCCTATCACTCTCACAACCTATTGAAACTTTTTCTAATAACATTATCCCGATCAAATTTTCCTTTACATTTTATTATTTCTATTCCTTTTCAGCCTTCTTTGCTTGCTTATCACCATTGTTCATTCCTTAAATAGAGCTGTTACCATCGACAGCAATTTTCTTCAGACAATATCATTGAATTCCATGATTTTTTTTGCCACCTATACAGTATATTGATAAGCATCAGATATATAACTCCACAACTGTTTCCCATTATGATTTCCAGACTTGTATCTGGCAGCACACTTAGCATCTGTATTCTGATGTTTTGTTTCATAGTTACCTTAAAATTATATCCAAAATTTCTTTGCTCTTCCTCAATAGTTTTCCTGTTAGTGTATGTTTATTAATTATTTCAGTGGTATAAATAAAAACCAAGCTTTTTGCACTGCTAAGGATAAAATCCAGGGTCTTACACATGCTAGACAAGTACTCTACCTCCAAGCTACATCCCCAACATTAAGTTTTATGGGAACTTCGTTCATATCACACCTTTTCCTAGTATCCAAAAAAAAAATCAATCAGCAAGACCTGGAACTTCTATGTACGAAATACCTCAGATCTGTCAATTCAATATCTTAATTCATGCTGTCCTAATTGAGATTACTATTATCTCTTTTTGAATTATTTCAACAACTTTCAGTTTGTACTTCTCTAATCATTAACTATGCCATAACAAGAGAGATAAAACAATACCAGATTTGACATGACTTAGAAAAGATTTAAAATTGCACATGAGACTCTGCCTTATCCCTGCGTAGTCTCTCTTCTAGTCTATCCTGATTTTCTATCTCACATTAATAGTGTTAACGATACCAATCAAGTCTTCTAGTTTCTCTAGTAATCTTACTTGTATCCAAGCATTTGTGTTTTCATGCTTCCTGGAAGGAAAACAATTCTTCCTGGAGCAGTTTTCCCTTACTCTTCGTCTAGCTAACTCTTCACACCACCAGGCTTAGTTTAGACAACAAATCCTGCAAAAAGCCCTGGTGCAGTCTTCACAGATAGGTTGCATACTTTTCCTATGTGTTCTTATAAGTCTTCATGGCACTCTCCATGAAGTATTGTCATTTTCTTTATGGCCTCTGGCATGGAAATATTTTGTGGAAGGAACTATGTCTGTCCTTTTTTTTTGGTCTGTCCTTTTAACATATTTTAATTTTAGCTCTAGAGATTGGCCTTTTGAAGCTACTACATCATTAAGATGCATTAAATATTATTTCAGTATTTAAAGATATATTTGCTTTTCTATTGACCCTGTTTTAATAATTATTTATCAATTGATTCAATAAATACTTGTCTGCCTTATATGCCAAATATGACTAGCATAGGTCCTGGAAATATAATGGCTAATTCAGACATTACAGAGGCAAAAATAACACATAATTATACTCTAAAATGGAAGGTAATATAGTGCTATAAAGAATTAGAAGTTAGAGAAGACCTCTCTGGTGAGGGAACTCCAGAGAAGTGACTGAAATGAAAAACAGGGGAAAGTGTACGGATCTCTTAGAAAACATTCCAGGTCAGAGGAATGGCAAGTGGAAGTTTCTGAAGTGGAAAGCAGCTTGGCTAATTGGAAATAGTCAGAGGACCATGTACAAGCACTGGGGAAGCAAGGCGGGGAGTGGTGTGAAATGCATTTGGAGCAACAGCTGGAGACTAGATCATGAGTTTGAAAGTCACGTAAAGTACTTTGCGTTTCATTACACTTGTGAGGTGGCGTGGAGAGAAGAGGTGTTCATGGACAAAGGTTTTACAGGGTCCAGAATAGAAGCAGAATGATGAGGTAAAAGGTTTTTTAGTTCCCCAGGGAGAACTGATTTCCAGAGCAATGGAACTTAGTGGTGGCAGATGTGAGTAGTTGGGTAGGTTGGATTGAATCAGTATGTTTTCACAAATAAGCCCGTCAAGGACAAATTTAAGTTTTTATGCATGTGAACCAGAGTCATCGATGGGTTCAACACATTGTAGAGAATGCATTTGAAAAAACAGAAGGTCTGTTTTTGACATAAAATAAATGCCTATGAAACTTAGGCAAAATTGTGGGAAAGTTGTAGAAAGGTGATTTTCAGCAATAAGTAACATAAGCATTTGGAAGAAATTATAATACAGATGAGATGACAACATCCAAGAAGTGAATGTAGAAGAGAAGTTTGTAGTATTGATCCCTGGACAAATCAGGAATTTAGAAGTGAAGAAGAGGTGGTTCCAGAAAAATGCCTGAGGAGCAAGATTCCAGTTAGACAGGAAAGAAGCCGGGAATTGTTTTTAAGGAAGAGTCAGTTCTCTGTAATGTCACCAAGTGGTCAGGGTAATGAAGATTAGAAAGGATCAAAATTCAAACAGTGTGGAAGCCCTGACTGATCATGATAGGAGTGGCTTCAGTGAGCGGTTAGGAATAAATGTGATTCTAGTGTGCCTAGGAGAGAAAGGATGCAAGCAAGAGAACAGATGGGCTTGAGGAACACAGCAAGAGTCTTAGTCATATATTCTTGATATTCATTATAGGTATTATTCAAGAGTATAAAGAAATATATTACTTACATAATATACAACCATATAAAATATAAGTACTTATATATACATGAATATATGTATATTTTATGCAATATATATTATTTTCATAGCATGTATGGTATTTTATACATATTTCCAGATATTCTTTATATATATGGATTTATGACTTACGATTTTTTAACCTAGTTTTAAAAAATAAACTAGACCGGGATTTTTAAGACTTCTAGAACCCAGGACACTATCTTTTACGTAACAGGAGCTGCTATCTATTTATCATTCCTGAACCCTAAAATTGCCACAATGGGCAAATTCATTTGTAAACATATCTCTTTTGGGTAGGGTACAGGAGGCCTTTGGAAAGGAAGGCCATATACTAAGTATCAGGGAATTCATTGAGTTGTGGAATAAATATGAGCAAGGTGAGTACAGGATCTTCTCTGCTATGCTCACTGGCCTGACACAGAACATGTATTTAACACAGGCATTAGATGAGGGTGTGATTATTATGTTGAAGGCTGAATGTACCAGATAGCTCAATGAGAACTAGTCCATGGACACTAGAGAGCTGATAATCCTCATACCAGAGGGAGGCTGAGCTCTAGACATGATCCAGGAGGGGCCTGGCCTGCCATGTAGACCCTGTTCGTTCCCTAACTCTTTTCCTTACTCTTCTTCTATGCGTAAATTCCAACGCTATTAGAAGTGAAAAAGAGGTGGAAATCTCGTATTAACAAGATTACATTCTGCAAGTGGAAGAAAATAAGTTCCACTGTGGGGAATATATTTGCATATGATCCCTCACATACTTAGGGGAGAATAGACAATTAGCATGGAAACTACCTCTGTAGGGACAGAAGGGATCCTTAGTCGGGGTAGAACAAGGGCCCTTTGTAGAGGGTGGAATATGCAGCCTCTGCGGTGATAGCAGCTTTGTGGCTTGAAGCTGAGGGTCTGTGGTTGTGGCCCCTGCCACTGTGCAGGCAGCACGGTCCCCCCTAGAGCGGGCTGCCTTGCCTACCCACATCCCCCTAGTAACCCACAAGACCAAGCCCCTAGCAACAAGCCCAGTATCCAGTAAATCAAGTGTGCACACTCAGGGCATGGAGATGGGACCCTCGGCCCATAAAACAGGACCACTACCCTTGATTCAGCAGTGTCCCCACTCTGGGTGCCCCCACCTCTCTGGAGTGGCTCCACACTGCTTCTTACAGCAATACCTACAATAAAATTACTTTCTCTTTGCACTGGTCTTCTCTGACTCCTCTTCCTCTTTCTACATCATAGAGAGAGACAAGGCCAGTGAGGGTGAGTCCAAGGACCTCTAGACCCCAGACCCCAGAAATGTTATGGGACATGACATTTCTTTCCAGGCTCACTCTTCTTTTGGGACACCCATGCATCTCCTTCTTCCTGAATTTTTCTCTCTCCTTTCTCATATGTCCCCCCAAAACACAGACCTCCTTGAAAGCCTATCATAATATTATGGTGGAAGCTCACCAGCAGTTGTTAATTTTATAAAGGTGAAGTGGGCAGTCTGTACTATAGGCAAGGATGGCTGCGGATCCAGGAGCGGCACCAGGCTGATGGCTCTCAGGGACAGGTTTATCCTTTTCCTCTGAGCCTGTGACACTCCATGCTCCAGCTGGGAGAACCTGAGGACAAACAAGGCATCCCCAGGGAGCCTGTCATTACCTCTGCCCCTTCCTCCTTTCACCTGAAGCTGGAGAGTCCTAACTGGAGAGTCCGTATCTGCAGTGGCAAAATCAGTCCTGCCTCCCTCCACTTTCCCGGTTTATGAAGAAATCAATCCACGTCAGCTGAGATTTTACTCCCTCCCTCCCTTTGGCCACTAGAACGCATCCATAGTTTGCAAAAGAGGCTGCAGGTGCTGCAGGAAGAGGACTATTCCTGTGGGACATCACACTAGCTTCTGCTTTGTGCATCTACTTTGAAGACCCATAAGCACAGCTACCCAAAGCTCTTCTCACTCTTGCACTAACTTATCTACTTCTGTATTTCCAGTTTTAGTGTGCTGTCAAAGTGAGCACTACTTCTATATTTGCTTTCACCAGATTATTCACTCACCTTTTGTCTCTTCCAGCCACTCTATTTTTGATTCATGATGCCAGCCAAATGAAATGTTTTCTGTACAGTTCCATGCCAACACATGCTCAGGCCAGTGTCTCAGGCTTTCTCAATGTTCTCTACTGAACTGTGGGTTTCTTTCACAAGTCCTCCAACAAGCAGCCTTTCCAAACCTTGGCTTCTTCACTCTTCTGACTGTAAATGCCATCACCTTTTAGCAAAAATCAATTTGACTTCTTCTTCAGTCTATGTTACAGAACATAGAGGGATATAATCAAATCATTTCTCTTCTCTTTCAATACACACACACACACAGACACACGTACACACACACACGTACACACACACTTTGGAGTTTGGCATGAAGCAAGCTAGTATTCTTCAAACAGGGGACGCTT